AGATGGTGAGTAATATTCGACTTAAGAATGGAACACCCAGGGAGTGCACGTGTGGGATGTGATAGGAGGACGTTTTCAAGCAATCACAAACCACGGGATCGATGGCATCGTGAAGGTACATGACACGACGAATCAGACGACCTTTGATAGTGAAATCATCTTCGGATATTTAGACCGTTCACCTTATTCCGATAGACATCCGTGCGTGACACGAGCGTATCAAGCAGAGTGTGTTAAAGCAGACGGGCTGGACACACAGACCGTGACGAAGGAGCAAGGGAAAACGTTAGCAAATCAATTGGGCATCAAATTTATAGAGGCTCACTAGCAAAGACGAACGAGGGCGTAGACGATGCATTCCTGGTTATGACAAAGTTAGTGGCTCTTTGTGCATTGCCAAGGCAAGGACGCAGCCCTCCTGGTGACAAAGTGCACAACTGCGGAGACAAAGATGTGAGCGCAAAGATAGAGGTGGTCACTCATGCATCCGAGTCATGGTGGAAATGAAAATAGCAGTGTGCGGAAGAACAATGGCCAGCATCAGACGGATTAGTTTCCAAATATCGTTGACAGTGGGCAGGCAGGGCTTGTGCAGATTGGCAAATAAAGAACCCTTTGTCACCATATCACGAGGAATAACTGCTTCCTGGTTATTTATGTGACGATGCAGTGATGAAAAATCAAATCATAAAAGCTTTACTCCTTGCCACCGCTTCCACACCACCGTGACAGTGCCACCAATACGTGTACAGTTTTATCATGCCACGGTACAGATATGACTTGCAACACATCGCTCCAGAAAAGAGGGACTCCGAGCGCAAAAGACTATGGTGCATTGAAAAGAAAAAGGATCCTGAAGTAGAACAGAAGATGAGAGCACTGAATACCGAACATAAGCGAGCTTCACGGCAGCGTCTAAAAGCGGCGAAACAACAAAGCATTGGCAACAGTCATTTCGACCCTTCCCATAGCGGTGAAGACAATCATGAAACCAATGCTTTAGTTCATACTTCTCCAAAAAATAGATCCGATATTAAAGCAGAGGACGCCAATTCTACGAGGTCAATACCGATATCGTCTGGCCATAGCAATTCATCTAGAGCTAAAGCACAACCATCTGGCTCCACTGTGACTGGGGTGCGCACTGAGCCTCCCCGCGCGCCTTCTCAATCTCAACCGTTTCCCCTGCCGCCATACGACATCATCCGATTCATCCCTCCATCAGAATCAAACATCGATCTTTCCGCCAAGGGTTGTCTACAACCAAAGGTAGAGCGGAAATATTCTCTCGAGTCTGATATTCCTTCCTTATCTGAGATGGTCACAAAGGCACATTCTCTGGCATCGCAGTCTGCCGAGTCCACTTTTCAGAATGGTCAAGTCCAAGGCCCCGCTGATGTGCTTGCTGCCTGCTCACAGGGCAATATATCTTCAGACCTCTTGAAGAAATCAACGGTGATGAAGGATTCCGCATCTTCCCCCAAACGGCCGCGTTACATGGCTCAGTTAAGGCCTCTGGCTCCAATCGAACACTCAAGTTCTTCCATTATATCTTCTCTCACTACTTCTGATGACGAAGATGGGGAAAGAAACACGAATGATACAACCAACCTGATTGTTCATGTCGGGTCTGCAACACCACGAAATATGACCGAATATCCTTCGCATATGTCTCTTTCCCCTCTTACGCCTCTGCCGCCCACTTACGACAAGGGCAAGAGAAGGGCTTCGATTGAATCTGTTCCCAGTTGCGAAGAGGACATCTCAATGGAGAACTTCCGGCCTACAAAGCGTTCAAAGTTGGAACTAGCTGCACCTGTATCCCATAAAAACGAACAATTCTGGATCCTTGACGGGAATACGGTCCTTGAGGTTGGAGGCGTGCTCTTCAAACTCCACCGTTCTAGGCTTGTTGATCAGTCAATCTTTTTTTCTCACCTCTTGGACGAGCGCAATGTGCAGATGGACGGTGTCGTAGTAAAAAGTGATGAAAACGGGATAGTGTACCACCTGTCGAATACTACGCCGAAAGACTTAGAGGCACTGCTACAGCTCGACAAAAACCCAATGTAGGGATTTATTTTTTCTCATTTTGATATAATATTGATTACCCACAGGGCATATTATCTCGCCCCCCCTCCGTTCCCGGTCTTGGCTGCTATCATTCGTGCAGCAACTGCATTACGTTTCGATACGTATCGAGCTTTCGCCGTGAAACATTTAGAGAATGCATGGTCTTCTTCTGTCACAGATCTGACCACAGAAAGAAAATCTAATGCAGTGGAAGTTGTAGTTCTCGCGCGGACCTGTGGCATCAATAGCGTGTTGAAGAGGGCCTTCTATGAAATGGTTCGGGTGGCGGGTTATGGTCTTGGTGACGGTGAATGTGATGCAGACAATGGAGAACGGCCCCAGGAAATCAGCCGCGCAGACGAAAGGCGTCTGGAACGCATGAGGGAGCATCTTATCTCGGCCTGGTTGCAGGTTGCGGTGCGTGTGGACCGCACTTTCATATGCCCGAACCAACTAAAGGAGCCTACTGCCGGTACTGAATCGAGGTCTTCGGCTTTACCCAAATGTCCGTCTCTGTATTCGAAGCGAGATGCTTGGGAGAGGCGTGTTCACGATTCTGGGCTCTATGCCGAGTACAAGTTTGACCCTTTCTGTGGACTTCAAGCCCTGATCGATATCAAATGGGACGAGGACGAGGGCTGGTGCTCAGACTGTGTGCACGCAAAACGAGAAGTTTGGAGAACAATGCGTCAGAGAACTTGGGAGCGTATCGAAGTATGGATGGGTCTTGACAAATAACCGACGTCTGACATTCGGGCCCGATAGTGCTTAACTAGCATGTATTTGTATGGCGACAACATCTTGAGCATTAATGTCATTCTTGTGGGACGCATGAAATTGTATGAACCAAGTTTCTGGCCATATCAACCACCTTTTCGTGCCTCATTCATCTGCGTTAGCCTTCCTGAACCCCTTCTCCGCGGACTCATATCTGCATACAGATCAATCGTCATTAGCTCGATTTTCCCATCCTGGCGATAGCTCACAGGACAATATTAATACTGTTCTGGCCACGCTGGGGAGCAGTTTTTTTTGTCGTATCTCCTATTCTCGCTGCACTTGACTTCGTTTTGTGCAGGGACCGTTACTTGTCTTTATGGCGTTGGCAGATCGATCCTTAGTACCTGCAGTTCAGTCACGACGGTGGTCTTCTGGGTTCATTCCAACAATCAGCCTTTGAGTTCAAAGGTCGACACATGGACGCCGAAGTGCAATACATTCGCATTGAGATAGTGAGTAATATTCGACTTCGAGAACGGAAGGCTCAAGGAGTACGAGATAGGAGAAGAACGTTTTCGAGCAGTCGCAAAGACATCTTACCGCGGGATCGGCGGCAATGTGATGGTATATGATGTGACGAATCAGACAACCTTTGATAGTGAGATCATCGTCGGGCATTTGGACCGTTCACCTTACTCAGACAGATATCCGTGCGTGGTATAATTATGTCAGTATGAAGCTCCTTGGGAACAAAGCAGACGGGTCGGACTCACGAATTGTTATGGAGGAGCAAGGAAAAGCGTTAGCAGATCAACCAGGTATCCAATTTATGGAGACTTGCAGTTGCCAGGACGAGGGCGTAGACTGGACCCTGGTCATGATAAAGTTAGTGGCTCTTCAAGGATATTTGCTGAAAAACTTGAGCTCAAGTTCGAAACAAAGCGTTCTGAGTCTGACGTTTTGAGTTGAGAATGCGAAAAGGTCAGACGCAGGCCGCTGGAGCGTACTGAGGCCAGATCTCGGGTTGGGGGGATGAATGGGACCACGGAGGAACGGACCAAACCAAAAACACGCTGGCAAGATTATAAAGGGGGGTGGGTGGGTGACTAAAACTTGGCAGAGAGGAGAGCGGAAGGTGGGGAAGGAGGCAAAGAAGGAAATCTGAAGGATCTTTGCAGGGCCGTGCATATATCTATGAAAACGTGAAGATCTGTGCAAAGTGTGAGATATATCAAAGCCGCATAGGCTTACAAAGCCCCACCTATCTACGCTATCAACTCGCAAGCTTCATTCAAGTTGATCGCATAGATCGAGCAGCTCGTACAGAAATATAGAAGGTGGAAGAGCTGTGGGATATGGCGAGTCTTGCTCGGTCGGAGGCTGGCTCGACACTATTAATTTCTGGATCCCTCCTACCTAGGGATCTTTGACCAAGCACATGCCAAGACTGAGAATGATATTGGCAATTTTCGAAAGATACCTCATTATTTCTGCGCAGGGTCGGCCTACTAAGGGAGCAACGAGTAAGTGAAGAGAAAAATGACGAGGAGTACGAGCATTGACGAGATGCACGGGAATGAGCGTCAACTTCTCATCCTCGTCGCTGCGCAGGGTCACTGCAGGTTCAAATGATGAAGCGATGAGTGAGAGATTGGGTAATGATTGCCGGCAGGTTAGGATACAATAGTCGTAATCGATTGAACACGCTCCTGCAAATTCTGCCGAAATTTCTGCCATCTGACAGCAATAACAATTCTGCCAAATCGATCAGAATTCGTGCTCATAAATATATGCAGAATATAAAAGTGTTTCCCCATCTTCAGAGATATCATTTGAGATCCCCTTCATTTAGCTGCATGCGAGATTTAAAAACTCTCAGATGAGCTACAGGCTTACAATCAGTCACTGCTAGCTCCATTGGCTAGCGGGCCAAGCAAACGGCTTTTCTTGGTGGAAAAACGTTCCAATCAATTCCGATCGCCCATTCAAGGTCTTGCTCCTAGAGCATTAACGAAGTTGAAGTGCTCGAGGAAAATGCTTTTGGTTATGACGAGGTGGGTCGGATCGATAAAGGAATAATACCACTGGCTATTCTAGATGAGGTTGAGGTGGGTTAAATACAATGGCGAGGATGACGAGGGCAACAAATATTGATGAGTCATCGTTAGGGATGCCGTAACCGTAATATAAGCTGTGGGTAGTGTTGCCCGCCGAGGCGAATCGAATCGAATCGAGGTGGAAAATTGTGGTAAATCGACACAGATCGGACTAACGAATTGAAACGATTTGCACCTCGTTCACCTCGCGATTTGGAAACGAGTTCGGAGTTATACGGACCGATAGTCCAACCAATGAGAAGCCAGGGATTTTGCGTGCCCACAATGACCGTTGAACAACAATTATTTGCAAGTTTACTAGTACACGACAGCAAGTATACTAATTATAATCAATGTCTCTTGCATTCTGGAGCAACTCATCAAGCTCGCGAAGATTCCCAGCAGCCATTAACTCGTCAACTGCTCGGGAGTCACAGGTCAGATATTGTGTAGTCCTGCTCGTCAGCCACCAGGTCCTCCGTAAAATTGAGGCGGTCTTGCTTGTAAATGAACTTTAGGACCTGTAATGCTTCAAGTGTGGCCGGAGATAAGTTGCTGCGCCGTAGAGTGCAGGTCTCTTTGCTGGATGAAAATATGCGCTCGGAAGGTAAGATGAAGCTTGAGCAGGCAGGACATCCATAGCGACGCGGAAATAGAAGCGGAAATGTAAGTTCTTTTGCTGACATGATACCTGTTAACCTCGTGAATTACAGACAGAAATATATCACATGACCTCCCAAGAAAACGAACAATATCTGTTGTCCGTTCAGCTGTTTCATGTAGTATACCTGCCTCTTCGTAACGAGAAAACTCGGTTCGGCATCCTTCCTGTCAAGTTCGAGTTCCTTGGCGGGAGCGTTCCTCCGTGGTTTCTAGTGTTGGGGAGTCTACCAATGGTTCAGAGACGATGATGGTAGGAGTCGGATGGGATAGTGCTATTAGTAGTAGAAGATGAGCGCCGCACATTGACTTTCAGGTTGTTCATGCGGCCAAATCCAGCCGATAAGGACCCGCGAGGCAATTGCTGTCGAGTGGTGAAGCACTGCCGCGATAGTAATACCGAGGGCGTGGATAGTTCCAGCTGGGTCTCGGTCTCCGCCAACTCTAATGGACATACGAAACGAAAGTCATCTGCACCCCAAAATCACGTCGTCCATAGTAACTCGCAAAAAAAACGACGAACTGCTTGCAGCATCCATTCTCGAGCATTCTCGACATCCTCAGCCTACCAGTGCTCTTCCTTCAACCACTCAAGTTTGATGCTTGGGTTGACAACTATAATTCGGTCTATGAAAGTGACTCATAAGTGAAAAAAATTGAAACGCACTCATCGAAAGTGGCGTATGCGTGTTTTCCTTCCTTCATTGATGTACTGCTTCAACGATATTCATATGGGCCTGGGGCCATTCACAGGGGATTACGATGTATGGATATTAAGTACACCAAATCGATTGTAAATCTCGAACCCAACGAGGTGCAACTCGATTCAAATCGGAGTTTCGAGTTGAAACGATTTGGTCGTTTCGAACCGAATCGATTTCTCGAGTTTAACTCGCCTCGACGGCAACACTAGCTGTGGGCCTGCCTGGGCGCCTATATTAGTTTTGCCGGTTATAACCGGCATCTAAGTAGTTCTGCACTACCATCCGGGCTGAACGCGACACACAAAAATGGCCACAGGTAAATCGCCGTCGGCGTCTGGTCTCGTTGGCCATTCTTCGTCAGTACAAGATCATGTGCAGTCGTCATCCTATCAAAGCAGAAAATATGCAGATGTTCACAACAACGCGAAATATCGAGAACCACAGACATCCGACCTTTTAATGGGACCTGATGACGATAGCGATGATGATGAGAAGATGATGGACGATGAAGATTATATACCTGAAGATGACAAGACTTACACTGCCAGTGAAACAGCTACTCCGTACGCGAAGGCGACTTGGACCTAGGTGGAGACGAAGAAAGTGAAGGAAGGCCGAGGTGAAGTGGAAGGGGAAGGCGATGAAGGCGAAGAAGACGACGAAGACGAGACGAAGAAGGTGAAAGTGAAGATGAAGATGAGGCTGAAAACAAACGTCGAACTTGAAGGCAGCGACGAAAAGGTTGAAAACAACCATGGAGACAACGCTTCAGTTCATGCTTCTCTGAAAAACGAATCGAAGCAGCAAACACTAATTCTGCAAGGTCGTTACCAGTGTTTCCTAGGCCTGGCTACAGCAACGAGCCTAGAGCTAAATCAAAAGGGAGTTCACCATGTAGCCTCAAGAGTACTCTATCTCCCTCACCACCTCCCTGCGCGCCTTCTCAATCTCAACCTTTCCCCCTACCATCGTATGACCCTATGACTCCCTTGGACCCGAGTATTGATCTTTCCTTGAAGGGCGATTTGCCGCTAAAGGCAGAGCTGGAATCCTCTCCCGAGCCCGACTTTCCTTCCGTGTCTCAGATGCTCGCAAAGACGCGTCCTTCGGCATCGCAGCCTGCGAAATCTACCTTTGAGAAAGGTCGGGCGCAAGGCTCTGCTCATGTTTCTGCTATCCGTTCACAGGACATTGTCTCTTTGAATGTCTCGAAGTCGCCGATGGCGATTCATAATGTCGCATCTTCCCCCTCACTGTCGCAGCCCAAACGTCCACGTCCTGTGGCTTGCAAGGCGAAGCCACGGGCTCTGCCGATTGAGCCTCGTAGCTCTTCGACTCTATCCCATTCCGCTACTCCTGGCGATGAAGATGGGGACAGGAACAAGAATAACGGCAAGGGAAAGAGAAGGGCTTCGATCGAATCATCTCACAGTGGTAAAGAGGATATCCCAAGGGAGAACCTCCGCCCCACAAAGCGTTCAAAGTTGGAACTAGCTGCACCTGTGCCGCACAAACACGAACAATTCTGGATCCTTGATGGCAACACCGTCCTCGAGGTTGGAGGCGTGCTCTTCAAACTCCACCGTTCTAGGCTCGTTGATCAGTCAACTTTTTTTGCTAACCTCTTGGATGAGCAAGATGTGCTTATGGACGACAGTGTCGTAGTCGAAAGGGATGAACATGGCATAGTATACCACCTGTCGAACACCACGCCGACAGACCTCGAGGCATTACTACAGCTCGATAAGAACCCGATGTAAGGATTTCATCTTTCCATCTTTGTTTGATATTTACTACAACTTACAGGGATTATTATTTCGTCCCCCCTGCATTCCAAGTCTTGGCTGCTATCCTTCGCGCAGCAACCAGGTTAGGTTTCGACACGTATCGTGCGTTCGCCTTGAAACTCTTAGAAAATGCTTGGTCCTCTTCTCTCGCGGATCTCACCACGGAAAGTAAATCCAATGCAGCGGAAGTCGTGGTTCTCGCGCGGACCTGTGGCGTCGAAAGCGTCTTGAAGAGGGCTTTCTATGAAATGGTTCGGGTAACAGGCTACGGTCTCGGCGACGGCGAGTTGGACGGCGACGATGGAAAAGAAT